CTATATTTCTCATTTTCTTATCAATCATGCTTTCTAAACCTTATATCATTTTGGTATCTCTTCCTCTGGGCACCCTTCAGTTTGTCTCCATCTTTTCTTAAGTGTAGTGCCCAGAACTGGACATATACTCCGGCTGAGACTTCACCTGTGTCAAATAAAGCAGGACAGTGACCTCCTGTGTCCTACACACAACACTCTGTTAAGACACCCTGCAATTATATTAGCCTTTTTTCACAATTGTATTATAATTTTCTCAAACAATTTGTGATTCACTGTAATTCCAGACACTTTTTAGAGGCACTACCAACTAGCCAATTATTCTTCTTGCTGGAGTTGTGCATTTGATTTTTCCTTCCTAAGTGCAGTATTCTACATCTTATTGAATTGCATCTTGTTTATTTTAGACTAGTTCTCATTGGTTGTTTTGAATTCTAATCCTGTCCTCTAAAGTGCTTACAATCCCTTCCAGTGTGGTGTCATCCATAGAGTCTATAACCATAATCTCCATTCCATTATCCAAGTCATGAGTAAAAATATACAGACCAAGGGCAGACCTCTGCAAACTCACCACTGGACACATTCCTCCCCCCTCTGCCCCAGTTAGATAATTACTCTGGTCTTACCACCAGTTATGCACCTTTCTTATAGTAATTTTATCTAGACCACATTTCCCTAACATGCTTATGAGAAACTCATGTGGGACTGTCAAACACCTTACTAAAGTCAAAATGTCTCATCTATTGCTTTCCCCCATGCACCAATCCTGCAAAAGGAGGAAAGTAAAGTGGTTTGGTATGATTTGTTCTTGACAAATCCATGTTGACTATTGTTTATTACCTCTCGGTCAGGGGTGGGCAATCTCAGGTTGCTTGGATCCAGCCCCCAAGGCTCATCCTCCCCCTTCCTCCAACAGGCTCTCCAGCCCTCCAGATGTCCCACTGTAGGGCTGGAATGCACACAAAAAAAATCTATTAGGCTGGGCCTTCTTGGCTCTGGTGTACGAGGGGAAAGTGGGGAGTATCTTTCTCCTTCTCAGTCGGGGGCCACTTCTCACTTGTGTGCAGCCCTTGACTGATTTTTCTGTGTGTCAGTGGCCCCTGACCCAAAAAAGTTTCCTCATTTCTGCTCTAGGTGTTGACAAAATGATTGGTTAATCATTTGTTCTGGTATCTTTCTAGGTATCACAGTTAGAGCCAAACTGAATGGGTATGAAGTGGGGAGTCAGAGTAGGAGAAGCAGGGAGTCATGGCACATTCCTACTACACCCCAGAGTGGGGACACTGTCAGAGGGGTAGAGTTTAAGGTTACAAGGAACCACCAGATCATATAGGGCTAGTCTACACAGAAACCGCTACCTCAGCACAGTGACGTCACTCAGCAGTGCTGCTGTAGCACTTCCATGAAGGAGATCCCCTCCTGTCAGAGTAAGTAATCCACCTTCCCACAAGGTGGCAACTTGGCTGAAAGCAGGGCCACTACCAGGCAGGGGCAAAGAGGGCAGCTGCGTTGGGGCCAGTGATTTAAAAGGATCTGGAGCTCTTGGCAGAGGCAGTAGCCGTAGTCCTGGACAGTGCACTCCAGGCAGCGCTAAAGGGTTGGGCTGAGGGAAGCTAGCCCCCAGCCCAGCCCTTCTTCACGAGATCCCACCCCTTCAGGAGGCCTGGAGAGGCCTCCCTGCGCCAAACAAAGTCTGTCCCTAAATTCTCCTGACAGTCTAGCATAGCTTGCCTCAGGGGGTTAGGTTAGTGTAAGTGCATCATCAGAGATGTGAATTCCTAGTGCAGACCAGGCCCTATTCTGACCTTTTATATCACAGGCCACTAACGCTACCAAGCATCCACCCTCAGCCCAAGAACCAAAACTGGTCCAAAATATTACAGCCCACAGGAGAATATTGTGTGCCACAGGGAAAGTTGTGTTAATGGGATTGATCCTGTGCTCTTTGAAGTCAATAGCAAAACAGTGTAGATTCAAGTCTGTGCTGTCTTAGGAGCAAAGCCAGAGAGATCAGCTACTCTCCATGACATGCCCCCAGCTGAACACCATAGATAAATAATGAATTATAGAAGCATCAGCTTGTGTTCTATACGCGCAACTTTCCTCAATTTTTGGGGAAGAAGGAATCTTGCGCAAAAGGGGATTTTTGTGCAAAAAGGCACCATCTACACAGTGCTTTTTTGCACCAAAACCTCTTCCATAAAAAGTGTGAGATATGCAAATTAGCACTCTATTTGCATTTTCTCTTCTGGAAAAAGTTCGTAGTGTAGCCATAGCTTACGAGGGTGAAGTTCACCTCTGGACACTGTGCCAGCAAATAGCATGCACAGCATCTTAGCCTCCTTTAGGGTCTCAAAATAGGGCTTAAAGGCCTTCCGTTGACAATTCCCCCTCACCTTTGCAGTGGGAATTTCCTTACAGAGAAGACCTCCTTTTTCCATGGCTTTACTAGGGGCATAATTTTTCTCCACAAATCTGTATGACAGATCTTAACACCTAAATTCTATTCTCCCTGTGCTACAATCCCTAAATAATTCTGTGCACATAGGAAAAACATAGTCCCAGAATTATGATCCACTGGTGCAGTCTCTAATTGGAAGGATAATCTTCACAGCACAAAGCAATGTAAAAATATCTGAAATTCCACTCTATTTTTGTAAATCAGAGATAGGCCTGACTCTCCCTGCCCCCAACTCTGAGGCAGTTTGACTCCACAGTTCAGTCCTCATTTCCCATATCTCTTTAATTGGTCAAACCAAAACCATTGTTTCTAGGCCCTCTGTACTTTGGGGCAGCTCAATTCAGATGCAGATCTCTCTGCCCAGTTGTTCACTAGATCCAAGTTCACTATTAACACTCTGGTCATCTGAAGAAGTGGGCCCATGAAAGCTCATGATACCATCTACATGTTTTGTTAGTCTTTAAAGTGCTATAAGACCAGTGCTTTTTTTATGAAGCTACACCCCAGGATGGCATACCAGCACCCATTTCCCCATCTTACTTGAATTGAATGGGATTCCTCTCTGGCATACCAGCACCTATTTCCTGTTTCCTGGGGTGGTTTGGCTCCCAATGGAAGCCCACCCATGACACACTTCTATTAAAGGGGCCGCGATCCCATTTCGGCCCCTGGCACAGCTTCCCCCCCGCCACACTTCTTACAAAAAAAAAGCACTGTACCAGACTATTTGTTGTTTTTTAAGTTTTTCCTGTTACAGACTAACTCAGCTTCCCCTCTGAAGGTCTAGTAAGATCAGGGTCTAAGGCATAAGCTGTAAGGTTGAAGCCTATGCAACAGTGGTCAAGACTTTGCTAATATAAAGCAAAGTTAAGCTACGAGCAAGAAGCAGGTCCTGTTCACAGAATTTAGCACGAACAGGGTTGATATGGCAGGAACACTTATACCTAATTGATACTAGGCACAGGCCATAATCACATTCCTGAGGGATGGTAACAGAACACCTCATTAAGAAACATCTTGGTACCAACACACTACCCATGATAACAGGGACATACCAACCCAGGTTTAGGACAGGGTTTAAAATGACAGCATGATAGATAGAAATGTTTTGATCAAACCTCCATGTACAAGGTAATGAGTAGTATCTAAGTACATCAGAGGGTGGCAACGTAATATATCAGAAATGATGTGCAAGTTCTTTTAATCTGTGCATAAAAATATATATTAGAGGAGCCATCCTTGTTCAGCCTAGGGCATGATGGGAAATCCCACTGATTAAGTCCATTGTCAGGGTGCATGTATGTATTAGCAGAAATGCAGACATCTGATCTGGGGAGCTGGAGATAGTTTTGTTTGACAATAAACCTGGCTTGGATGCCTTTGTCCCTTATCTGATTTTGTAGTCTTTGGGAGTTCTCTCAGAGTCTGCCGAACTGGATTCCTGTGCAGAGCCAGTGCAACATTTAGGGATAACACATGTAACCAAATGGTTATCATTGGACAGAGCAAGATATCTGCCGGGACTCCACACGGGTAACTTCTGACCACAACAGGCTCCATTGCCTAATACATCTTAGTGAGGAAAACTTCAGGTCTGTTCCCATGAGATATCCAAGGCAGGGATATGGGAGGCATTTAGATAAATTCTTCAAACTGAACAGTAAATTGACAATGGCCCCTACCTGAATATAGAAGTGCATACTGGTGGGCTGTTATGTGCTTGTGTAACAGGACACCACCATTCCTTAGGGTGTGGAAAAATGAAGCCAAGTTACTATTATTTTACTAATGGCTGATGTCTCCTATAGAGCAGATTCTAGGCAGCTTGTCTCCTAGAACACTTAAGTTACCAATGAGACAGCTTGGAGAAGTTGACAAACTTTCTTGAGTATGTAACGTCTGAATGAATAGAAAGCTTCTGTTTCCTGGGTCTCAACCCATCCTGTTATGTTAATAAAAACGTCTATCCCTCCTTTTCAGGGCAAAGCTTTGTTCCCTGCACCAAGCCTAAGACAATGGGGCCTAGCAGGAGAAGGAATTATCTTAAAGACATCCAGTGACAATTTATGTGGCTGTACCTGCAGTCTCAAAACATGCAGTAGCTTCACTCCTTAGCTTGTGGGATTGGTTAGTGAATTCACATAGTTCTTAATCTACAGAGCATGGCTGTCCTCCAACTCTATCACCACAATTCCTAAGCATGGTGTACAGAATACGGTCTCTTTGTGTGGGTTCCTACATCTTGGTGCTCCATGCATACTTGTGAAGGGGCATGTCACTGGCTTTAGTGCATTTAGAGTTTCTGGAACAATTTGCTTCTAATTATTGGCAGCATGTAAATATGACAAAGTGGTCTTCCCTGGAAGTGGATGGTAAAAGTATTTGTAAAGCCTTGGACTTTAAAATCCTAATAATTAATAGGCAGCAGAAATGAAAAGTAAATATACTTTAATATTAATGGGAGCCTGTATTTATTCTGAAGTGCAAAAATACAGCTAAAAATATGCAAACATCTAATTACATTACATCATTTTTGTTTTAGGATACAAAACAATTATCTAGCCTTACAAAGAATTAATCAGGACTTAGAAGATAAACTTTACAGGATGGTAAGTTATTTTTAATTTTAAATATATGTTTATGTATCGTAAGCTACAGGGACAAAGGGCTGTGTAAACGGTATGATTAGACTTGTGCTGTACACAGGGGTATACTAAACTAGGGTGTATGACTTTATAAATATGCTGATACAGCCACATAGCTGGTGTACATCTGTATTGTTCTACTAATTTCAATGAAGATATGTCAGTTTATATTGGTTGATGATCTGGCTCAACAATCTTGTCTTTAAAAGAATTATTTTTCCTTAGACTTGCAATATGTAGGTTTTAATTAAGAAAAGATTTAAATGAGGCAATCCAAATTATCAAACTGAAGAATATTTCATGCTTCTTTGGTACATTTACTCAGATTTATTATGTAACCTAATTGAGCTTGGAGTGTCTTAATTTTCATATCCTGTCATAACTATCAAGCAATCTCAATATATACATGTCAGAATGCATGCATTTGTTCCTTGTTTGTTCACGTTGGTCTACTGCTATAAACCAGTTAGTAACAGAGAGGGGGGAGAAATTATTGCATCAGGTATAGGTCTCTGTATCTATGAATATGATGAATAAACCATGTGACCATTCTGTCACACTTTGCTTGGAGATGTAAAAACTTGTAATTTCATTAATGATGGTGCTTATTTATTATGCTATTTTAAGAGGATATTCATTTTTAGGAAGATTTTAAAGAGAAATTGTGTGTGTGAAGTTGAGGAGAAACATGCTTTTTTGCTGGTGCAGGATTGGGGCTTAAGTTTGCTATGTTTTTGCCTCTACCATGTCCCCCTCTCCTCCCAAAAAAAAAATAGAAAGGAAAAAAATGTTAGATAGACAAAGTAAGAAAAAAAAGTCTAATATCTACCCTATTTTGGAGAAACTTGGAATTTCAAATCCACTTGAGCCTAGTGTTGTTGAAAGTGGCATTTAACAGAAAAAAACTGAGATTTTTCTTTGTGTATCAGCTATTTTTCTCCAATCCTGTGCTTGCTTTTAAATACTGACCCATCAATTGTTAAAAACAAAATTTAAAAACAGCCCTATGACACTAATCAAGCATTGTTGTCCAACTCAACGTCTAATTCTTGAACAAAAGGTAGTCCACAGTATCCATGCTGAATGTGGCTAAAGGTTGAAAGATTTGGTCCTTCTTTAGACAAGGAAATTAATAGTATTTTGGTCTAAATAAGCACTGCTATACTAATTTCATATTACACCAGATGCTAAAAGGCCATCAGAAACCACATATGCCACTGCTACAGATACCTGTTGTTATGAGTCAAGATCTGGATTTGGAGAAGATTTTCATGCTTCTGACAGCATCAACTTGTAGAGAAATAAAATACAAATAATCTTTGTAAATCATTAAGCATTATAATTCTGAATTCTTTTCCATTAAGAGGCAGACAAAAAACATGAAGAGGGCTGCAATGTTGTGTTGTGACGGTCACAGGCTATTTAATTAAACACTGTATCTCTTCTAGTTCCAGCTATTACTGACATTCACTAATTTCCCATGAAGTTAGTTTGAGTAACACATTGGCTTGGCATGACCTTGCCACACATCAATGGCAGAATGCTGAGCAGTTTATACAGACCATCCCAAATGAATACTGATAAAGCCTTTATATCATCTCAAGCCTCATATGCTAGAGAACAAATACTATTTATACAGACCATCCCAAGCCTCATATGCTAGAGAACAAATACTTTATAATGTATAAGGGATTTAAGAATTGGAGAAGAGAGAAGCATCACTATATATAAAGCCTGGTGCCTTAGGGCATGTTTATACTTAGAAATTATTTTGAAATAAGGGAATCCTCAAAATTAGTCCAAGACAGGCTCTATGTGGACGTACTACCTCAACTTAGAGCCCCAGGAAGCACTGGGGAGTAATTACTTTGAATGATTCTGGGGAGTAATTATTTTGAAATAGCAGCAGTTGAGCATCCACACTACCTCTATTTCAAAATAGCTATTTTGAAATAAGTTTTATTCCTCCAGGAAAGTAGGAATAACCAGCCCCTTATTTCTAACAGGCTTGGTAGTGTGGATGCGCTGCTTGTTATTTCGAAATAAGGGGAGTAATTTCAAAATAACTCCCTAGTGTAGACCAGGGCTCATTTACCATGGACCACATTTTCAAAAGATATTTCAGGCACCTAAAGAAGGAGACAGGGGCTGTTGAACATTCTGCTAATTGCCTAAGAAAATGTGGCTCCAGGTGCTCAGAGGAAGCCATGATCTTTAACAAAAAAAAAAGTCTAAAATCGCTAATTGCCTAAGAAAATCTGGCTCCAGGTGCACAGGTGCACAGAAGAAGCCATGATCTTTAACAAAAAAAAAAGTCTAAAATAGCTTTTCTGTAATTAAAAATGTCACAATTCTAAGGTGATGCCTTGGCATCTTTGAGGGCCAGAATCAATAACTGGTTGTTACAGGAAAACTGGTATTATCCAGTGTATAAGGCTGCTCTTAACTATACAAGGTTAGAAAATGATAGAATTTAAGCCCGTTGCAGGTCTACAATAGATTTATGTATACATACAGTATGTGGAGTATGGAGGTGATTTTCATTTAACTGCAGTGTTATGTGGTGATCTGGGGATACATGGGATAAATTAACTCACAATAAGTAAATTTATCATGTACCTTTGGCTCCCTCAGTTACAGGGATTTAGTTTTATTTTTCCCCAGGGGTGCTTTACCCACAATCTACCCTGAAGCCCCACCCACCACCCCTTCACCTCTTTCCCCAAAGCTGCACCCTCATTCTCCATCTTTCTGCCCCCTTTTCATTTCTTACCCCAGGCTCTGCCTGTGCTTTGTCTCTTCCTACCCCTTCTCTACTTCCTGTCTCAATGCCCCCACTAGCCCACCACTTGTTGCTCTCTGCCCTCTCCAAATTGGTGATCAGCTAATGGGAGATTCCAGTGATCAGCTGTAGCTGGTGGGTGCAGGGCACCTGCTTATTTTTTGTAGGTACTCCAGCATTGGAGCCCTGATGGAGTCAGCATTGATGGCCTCATATCTTCCCTTTGTCCACTGACGAGTTCATTTCCTCCAGGACTACATCCAACATTCTAAACCTCCAGCTGCTTCAAACAGCCCCCAATGATTTTTAAGCAACCTGTCAAAGAGATGTTTCTTCCCAAATACCCAGCTGCCAGCCAGCTACATAAAGGCTATATTTTGGGGCCATGATATTATCAGACATTTGCTTCATTGAGACATTGTGTGATGCTGAGTTGTTGCAAAGTGGAGAGGCAGAGTTGCCATTCAGTTTAAAAATAATACTTTCTCCTTGATCTGGTCTGGATACTTCTATTTCATGGCCATGAAGTCACATGAGCTGAAAGCTATTTCAATAAAACAACCACACCAACTTCCAATGATATGACTGATAAAAAAACCACACAGTATAAAAACCACAGAGAGCTTTTTATTAAAAGCATAATATAGTTTGACCTTAGGTAATTATTTTCTGCCTATCTAAATCCCCCCTCTAATCAGGCTGAATCTGGACGCCAGTTCCGACTTACATACAGATTCAACTTAAGAACAAACCTACAATCCCTATCTTGTACGTAACCCGGGGACTGCCTGTACTCCTTAGGCTGTCATCTGCCACCACTGAGAACAGCCTAGCACCATTCTCTTCAGAATTTCCCTTTAGGTAGTTGAAGGCTGCTATCAAATCCCCCTTCACTTTTCTCTTATGAAGACTAAAGGCCCTGTCGCTATAAGTTAGCATGTATGAATGCTGTTTTTTAGCGCTTTTTCTGACAAAATACCTCTACCCCCAATGACCAGGTTTCACTTTGTTGTCAGGAGAGCACTCCTGCCAATAAAGCAGCATTCCCACATGCTCTTGCCATGGCAAAACTTTGTCATTCTGGGAGGCAGGTGGTAACACACCTGTGAGTGACAAAAGTTTATTGATTAAGTGTAAGTGTAGATACATCCTGAATAAGCCCAGTTTCCTCAGCTACTCCTCATAAGTCATGCGTCTCAGCCCCCTAATCATTTTCATTGCCCTCCGCTGGACTCTCTCCAATTTGTCCACTTCCTTTCTGTAATGGGGACCCAAAAACTGGATGAAATTCTCCAGTTGTGGCCTCAGTAGTGCTGAGTAGAGGACAATAATCACTTCCTTCTCTATAAGACCAGGGCCATCACCTTGGTTAAGGGCCGATGAGGTAGGGATGGGGCACAAAAGGAAGCAGTTACCTTAGGGCCCAATGATTTAAATGCTCTAGGTTCCTTTAAATTGCTGCCACAGCAGTGCTGTCCGGGTGGTGCTGAGGACTGGGTGGAGGAGATATGACACAGCGCAGGTTATACTTTAGGATGACTGTCTCTAGCCCCACCCCTTTCTGGGGGACCCAGAGCCAAGTCCCCCACCACATTGCCCAGACCAAGTTTATCACAAGCCCTGCCTTGGTGATACATCCGTCTAATCACTATAACCATGACATCGGCATTATCTCACGCTAAATTTCACAGTCACCACAGACATACACTTTCTTCTGCCTCCACACTGAGGTATGAGGTCTTACCGGCTAGAAATCAAATGTCATAAAACCATAGGATAAAGAGAGACTGCAAGCCTCTTTCGAAAGAGGCTTTTTCGAAAGAATCTTTCAAAAAAGCCTCTTTTGAAAGAGAGCGTCTAGACTACAACTCTTCTTTCAAAAAGTGGGCCACTTTTCGAAAGAAAGCACCCAGGCAGTCTGGATGCTCCGTTTCAAAATAGCCCTGTTTGCATTTAAGAACGCCTTTTTTCAAAAGAACTCTTTCAAAAATAGGCGTTATTCCTCGTGAAATGAGGATTACCGCCATCCAAAGAAAAGCCACGTTCTTTCAATTTAATTTCGAAAGAATGCGGCTGTAGTCTAGACACAGGTGAAGTTTTTTTTTCGAAAAAAGGCTACTTTTTTCAAAAAAAAACCCTGCAGTCTAGACACAGCCCAAGGGTCATCTACTATAGCCCCCTG